TTGGTAAGCTTAGCTTAGCTAAAGGGTATATATTATATGAATTATCAATTTTATTCCTAACAATTCAGAACCTGAAATGGACTGATATCAAATTAATAATGAAGTACACACCTTGTGGGAGAGAAGAAATTGTATTTGTCGTCCATAGATTCAAAAAACTTCCACCTCCTTCGACCTCTTCCCGATTCATCATTCCCATCAACTATTAATTTATATCTGTAAAAAGGCCACGATTTAGCTAAGTTTTGATCACATATTCTAAAGAAAAATCTACGATCATACAATAGCCATGGTATAATCAATCATAAGAAAAACAATGGTAGTCCTACCGATATTTTAAAGATCTCATCTTATCACATATATCAAATGAATATGCGTATCCATGTTTCGTCAGTTCATCAGCAATTTGCTTCCACACATCCATTTTTTTGATCACAGGAGATTGAAACATTTCCTGCTTCTCTCTGTAAGTCTCAATTAGCAGTAGTGTGGAACTGTGTGTCCACACATTTGATGGCACTGTTGTTTTTAAAATAATTATATTCATAATTACAGATATTCATGTGCCATTCAACTAAAAATTTTAACACACACTGTATATCATAGTTTAGTAACTGGATGTACTTTGTAATTAATAATATTATCAAAGCATGCATGAATTGAATTTTCTTTATTGTAAAGTTACAACGTATTATCTAAATACTAGTAATATACAATTCGAATGTATGTGTCATTTGATCTAGTAAATAAACTACATATATGCAACATTACATCACATGCCTGCTACATTTATTTGCAAAAATACACTAATCTACCATCTGCTACACTATATCTACAACATTTATAATGGGGGCAATCGCCATAAAATAAACAATTTCTGTCTAAATAGTTGCTAGTCTGTAATCACAAAATGATGAATGATTTTTCTGCTTGATTATTTTGTAAATTGTAGGACACTGACAGGTTTGTAGAAAGTTAGCATGCCCAATGAAATATTGCAGGTATCTAAGTAACTAAAAGCCTGGTTATATTGTGTCTGTTGCATGCTAATTGTTATTGTATTTATGCAATATTAATCTTCCAGCTTCCGCTACTGCTTCCTGCAATGCCTACAGTCTAAGACCTGTTAAATAAATTGAGATATGCAACCATTCATCCACTGCCTGTACATAAATCTATATCTTGCTACACTACATATATTGCCTTCAAAATAAACTGACATGTATACATTGATCCACAACCTGCTACACTTCTGCCAAATGATCTGAAATAGGTAACAGTAAATCTTCCTGCAACACTACATCTATGTTTTATTGCCTTTTATATGAGCATGTTTATTTGCAGCATTTTATGAATAATAAGTAGATCCAGTTAACATATTTAAATATGTTTATAGGTAAATTGGCGGTTATCAGATACCTATAATCTATGCCTGCAATACCATACACTTTTTCTATTTAACTTGTCATAAACATTTTATTTCATACAAAAATACACTAATAAATTGATGGTCTATAGTCATATAAATAGTCAATTGTAACAATTTATTTTTCTTTATTATAAATGTTATACAATATATTATAAAAAAATGAATACAACTCAAATGACTTAAACATAAAGAAAGTACCAGGGTATGTGCTATTTGAAAAAAAACTACAATTGCATCTAAAACCTACTTAAATGCTTATATTGCCTGCTAAATAAATTTGAGATATATACAACATTATTCTGCTGACTACTACAATGCATCTACAACCTGCTACACTGAGTCTACAATCTGCTACACTGCAACTACTTTCTGCTATAATGAACTTGTATATATATATGTAACATTAATCTGCTGATTACTACAATGCATCTACAACCTGCTACACTGAGTCTACAATCTGCTACACTGCAACTACTTTCTGCTATAATGAACTTGTATATATATATGTAACATTAATCTGCTGATTACTACAATGCATCTACAGCTTGCTACACTGAGTATACAATCTGCTACACTGCAACTACTTTCTGCTATAATGAACTTGTATATATATGTAACATTAATCTGCTGATTACTACAATGCATCTACAGCTTGCTACACTGAGTATACAATCTGCTACACTGCAACTACTTTCTGCTATAATGAACTTGTATATATATGTAACATTAATCTGCTGATTACTACAATGCATCTACAGCTTGCTACACTGAGTATACAATCTGCTACACTGCAACTACTTTCTGCTATAATGAACTTGTATATATATGTAACATTAATCTGCTGATTACTACAATGCATCTACAGCTTGCTACACTGAGTATACAACCTGCTACACTGCAACTACTTGTCACCTTTTAACAGTTAGCAGAAATTCCTACCCAGAAGTAGCCATTTTATGATGACATTGAAAGACAGTGTGGAAGCATTGTATGTAAGTAACCACACTAGTACAGTACAAAAATATGCTTAAAGTCCACATTGGCCACAAATTGTAGTTCATCACACAGAATTTTGTTTTGACATTGTTTAGTATGAGTGACAGCTTTTAAATCAAATTAAAATTTGATGAAACTTCTAATGTGAGGAAATTTTGATCTGATATACACCATGATATATAGATCTTGCCATAACATGGGTTACATGGTATATGGGTAAACATGGAAATTCTAAATTCTTGAGTGCTTATTAGCCAATTCAAAACAGCTATGGTTCAAGAACTAACTTACCATTCCTAACCACAGAATTATACGTAACTCCATCAACCATTAGAGTTATTTGATTCCCATCTGAAAGATATAGCGTTACTTCTTTTAAGCTGTAAATACGAATAAAATTACTATAATTTATTGAAATAAATTATATGACTGATTTGTACTCTAAAGTTTAAAAAATATTAATAACAAACTAAAATCAAAATTTTTTAATAAGTAACTAAATTTGAAGCCTCATTAAAATTACATAATAAAGGGCTTATCACCTACATTTATTAAATATTTATTTCTCTATCTTGAAATTATGTAAATGTAGTAAATTCACTTTTTGAGTAAATTAAAAAATAAAATAAAACTACACTTACGTAAAGAAAAATTGTATAGACAAATTTAATTCAAATTATGAAAAACTACCACAGTGAGACAATAAACAATAAAATTGCACAAACTGACATAAAAAAATTGAAGCACGACATATAGTGAGAGCGTCGTCTGCCGATCGGTTCAACGATTTTTTTTAAGAAATACATAGATTTAGACATTAAAATATCATGTACTCTAGTACATGATATTAGAAGTAATAGAAGTAATGAATACAACAAGTCTAAACATGTTTGTATTTAGTGATAATACGCCAAAACAACAAATTGTCCTTGATATACATACAAAATATTAAAAAAACACGATAAGCACAATACCTGTCCGCCATCTTCGTTTCCTACGCGAGTCACCTCTGGGCTGCGTTAGCTAACGCTCCCTAACGCCCTGGAAAAACGCATCGTTCAGTTACCTAACGCTCGTGGCGCTAGCGAACGTTCGCCTTCGCTGGTTCCCTGCGTCCTTTGCGAATGGCAGGCAGGACGCAGGTCATTGACGCTGCAGTTCGGTGTCTTCTACACCGATCTGACGCATATCGCGCTAGGTGTGCTGGGAGTTTGTTCGAAATTTCGAACGTTTCGAAGTCAATTGTCGATTGCCACGTATTTTATGGATATATTAAATCGTTTCAGAGATCTGTTTACTAAATAATGATAAATGAAACTTAGAAAACTTGTAAGAACAAACTGGGCCCAAATTGCGCAAATTGCAATAAGTTTACGCTGATAGAGTCTGGTTCGGATGGACTTTTACGCGTGATTTTATTGCGCTCAAGGACGTTCTATTTTCGAACTAGTTGAAACCGGAAATAACGCAACTACTTTCGAACTTCAAACTCAAATTTGATTATCGTTATTATGTGTTAGTTTCTGTTGTTTCAAAGATTGAATTATGTATGACAATAATATTTCAC